GCTGACAGGGTCTGCACACATGCATTATCTGTACATGGCAATAGGACAGAGCTGGACAGCATAAGTGGCAGCACTTCACACTGAGATATTGGACATGGGACAAAGACTTCCAGGGACAAGGGAATATAAACCAGTACAGTTGGCAAGTATGGAACAGCTGCTTTAGGCCCCACAACAATGACTGGCCCCAGGACAGCTTCCCCTTTTGCCCCTCCTTAAAGCCGGCACTGGGGGGCTGTGTTTTATACTGCAGAGAGAGACAAGACTCTCGGTGAGATTTACCATTTGCTAGTGAAGGTTCCAGATGGGATCACTTTCAGACAGTTTTCACTGTCCAGGAACAGTGACCCATGAAGACAGCCTCTTTTTTGGCTATCGCTTCTAGCCAGTAAGTTTGCAGAGATCAGGACCTTGGGCTACAAAGGGACTCTTTTTGTTGAACTGTCCAGTTTATGTATTGTTGCATGCAGGAATACTTAGGAGGAACAGTTGCTGGATTTCAGGATACTTTGCGCTTACGCACAAGATTTTGTGATGTGCTGGCGACTGCTGGTTTTGACTTATGTTGTCAACAGTTTCTAGCTGATAATTTCTACAGCACCAGTTTACTATAGGCCATCTCCAGGAATGTGTGCAACAGAATGATCCTCCATTAATACCATTATGGTTCATAATGGAGGGAAGCTAGCATTCTCATCCTGTTATTTTTGGCATTCAAATTTCTGTTGGCTAAAGCATCTCACCCTTTTTGGGGCTAGTCATTTCCCATTCTTCCGCTACCATGAAAACGGGGAAAACTGAAAATTGTTATCATATACGGACATTTTCCTTTCCTGAATAACGACCAGTTCACACCACATGCAGTCCAGTGTGTTTTTTTTTTTTTGCAACAAAAACGTATGGATAGTAGGTTATATGGTTTTCAATGGCATAGTGCAGTCAGTTCCAGGAAAAAAAAAAAAAAGGAACATGCTGACGTTTTTCTGCTCTGAACTATACTGGAATGCAGTAAAACACATCAAAATACACTGAACGCACTTAAACGCACTGAAACACACATGTTCTTATTTAAGATGAAGAAAAAAAAGGGGGGGAAAATGCAATGCTTAAACATGCACACGTGCATTGACGTATTTCCCAAATGCAGAATGTACGCCTCAAAGTGTCAGTGTGCCTAAAGAAGAAGCATAGTGGGGTCATCCTTCTGCTCCAGGCAGTCTATACAAATGCTCTTGGTGCTTACTCTCTTTCAAGGTTGAGTCCTAGAATGTAGTGCTCAGTGAAATAAAAAAAAACAAACAATCATAACCTGACCTAGAAATAAACATGGCATTTTTGCCTACAGTGCAGCTGTAAACCTAAATTTGCACTTTTTTGTTCATACATTCAAGATAATAAAAAAGTGTGTGCCTAAATTGTTAGTCATCATTGGCTAACATGGTAGAGAAATGGTGTAATAATCCTACAGAACAAGCTATGTTAGAAACGATTAACTTAAATCTTTATTAGTAGACAACAATCTGCAGTAGGTATCACTAGTACAAGTTTTTGGCCAAAACATAGTTTTTAATTTTGCTGTGGTCCACTGCGGTCAGCATAAAATTAAAATGTGCAAGTAGTATTAGCAAAGGGGGGGGGGGGGGGGGGTAATGAAAAGATCTGCTTCTTTGTGCATAGGAAATAATTCTAATTTTGCATAAAGCCCAGATAATTGTAGCATATCTTCCACTGTAATTTACTTTTCCATTGCACATTGCTTTTCTATTCCTAGTCTCGTCGTGCTGCGCGAGCTGTATGTTACACACTTAGGAATGGCAAGTATTCTCCTCGTAAAGGGTGAATCACCATCTTGACTGTTTTGTCCTTTGTGACATTTTTTTCTCTCAGAAAATGTTCATCAGAAAGGCACCACTTTAAATTTACGCCAGCTGAAACATCTTAGCTGAACCCACATATTTAACTGTGTGCTTGCTGATGCACAGACCAGGGACGGCACTGCTGTGCTGCCTGGCAACTGTACAAATGTTGCTGGGTGAATACATGCAAGGCAACTGCCATGAAGCTGTCATTTTTTCTTACTTCACTGCCCGCTATTCCATTAATTATACATTTTTCTAAAATATAACTGAAGTACCAACTGAGGGAGAACTATGCAGGGCAACAGAGCACAGATATATTTATCTTTTTTTTTTTTTCATATATAAAGGGTGTTTATCAAAGATTTTTTGCATTACAAGAAGAAATGGCCCACGGAAAAGAGAAGCAGCCCTAAATTATACATGTCCAATGAATTCGCAGGGAAATGCACTCATTCAACATATATTGACATCATCAAGGTGGGGTCAACAGACGCAGAATTAATCATAGTTCAATAAAGCAACAAAACAGATACAGTATATTATCTTACCCTGGGCTATAAAGTGTTCTAGTTTCCTTGCGAGGTGACACTATGGCCAAGCAAGTATCTCTCAAACTAAAGCTGAAATAAGTCAGTCATGTTATTCGTATGTAAACACAAGGTTCAATTTTTTTGAGAATATTTACCAGCAAATGCATGATAGATAGATAGTTTTAGTATAGGTCTTTGTGACATATCCATTTGTAAGATCCAAAAGGAACATTTCCAGTGCATATGGTGCTAGAAAGGCCAATTTTGGGTAAAGAAATGAGTAGATCCTGGAACAGTAGGAATAAAAATACATCCAGCACATGTGGAAAAGGTGTGCAGCGTCAGTAGTGCAATATGGACATCTTGCGCCTGAAGGTCCATTTTGGCATGTACTAAAGATTGATAATGAAAACTGTAATAGTTTATCTGTAGTCCTGATAGTGGTATCAGTCCTAAATTGTTCCTTCTGAATCCAATCCAGTTTGTCCAGCAAAAAAGGATACTTTTGCCATTTAGACTAGAGTATGTGCTCTGAGGTTTGTAGACGGTTATATGCTAGTGACTACTTTCTCTCTTTCTGGGTCATTTAAAAAGGATCAAGAGGACTGAGAGCTAGTTTCACTTGAAACGAACTGTTGTAAAGGTGTGCCTCAGCAGGAGATATTTAAAGAAATTTCTCTTTGTAATAGACTTGTCCTTCTTTAAGGTGGAACATACACTATTATGCCAAATGTATTGGGACGCCTGCCTTTACACGCACATGAACTTTAATGGCATCCCAGTCTTAGTCTGTAGGGTTCAACATTAAGTTGGCGCACCCTTTGCAGCTATAACAGCTTCAACTCTGCTGGGAAGGCTGTCCACAAGGTTTAGGAGTGTGTCCCTTTGTCCATTCTTCCAGAAGCGCATTTGTGAGGTCAGGCATTGATGTCAGACAAGAAGGTTTGGCTTGCAGTCTACTCTCTAATTCATCCCAAAGGTATTCTATCGGGTTGAAGTCTGGACTGTGTATCAAGTTCCTCCACCCCAAACTCACTCATCCATGTCTTTATGGACCTTGCTTTGTGCACTGGTGCGCAGTTATGTTGGAACAGGAAGGGGCCATCCCCAAACTGTTCCCACAAACTTGGGAGCACGAAATTGTCCAAAATGTCTTGATATGCTGACGCCTTAAGTGTTCCCTTCACTGGAACTAAAAGGCCAAGCCAAACATCTGAAATATAACCCCACACCATAATCTCCCCCCCCCCCCCCACCACCACCAAACTTTACACTTGGCACAATGCAGTCAGGCAAAGTCCCATTCTTCTGGCAACCGCCAAACTCAGATAGGACCATTGGATTGCCAGAGTGATTTGTCACTCCAAGGAACACGTCTCCACTGCTCTAGAGTGTAGTTGCGGCGTGCTTTACATCACTGCAGCCGATGCTTTGCATTGCACTTGGTGATGTAAGGCTTGCATGCAGCTGCTCAGCCTTGGAAACCCATTCCATGAAGCTCTCTATGCACTGTTGTTGTGCTAATATGACGACCACGCAAGGTTTGGAGTTCTTTAGCTATTGACTCTGCAGACAGTTGGCTACTTCTACGCACTGTGCGCTTTAGCATGAGCTGACCCCGCTCTGTCATTTTACATGGCCTACCACTTCGTGGCTGAGGTGCTGTTGTTCCCAATTGCTTCCATTTTGTTATAATACTACTAACAGTTGACCGTGGAATATTTAGTAGCAAGGAAATTTCACGGATGGACTTATTGCACAGGTGGCAACCTATCACAGTACCACGCTTGAATTCACTGAGCTCCTGCGAGCGACCCATTCTTTCACAAATGTTTGTAGAAGCAGTCTGCATTCCTAAGTGCTTGATTTTATATACCTGTGGCCATGGAGATGATTGGAACACCTGAATCCAATGATTTGGAGGGGTGTCCCAATACTTTTGGCAATATAGTGTAAATATATTTAGCCTATTAATTTTACACCCTAAAGATTAGTAAAAATGCAGGTTTTGCATGTAAAGGATACATGATAACCATAAGGTATTGTCCAGGCAAGCTTTTTCCAAATTATTTCTAGCTGAAGAATCAATCTAGTTCTGTTGGCAATATGGAATTCAGTGTCCTTATACGGCCATTCCCCAAACATCTATTATATATTTTTTTTGCGGGGGGATTGCTGTCCGAATCACATGCGGTTTCCCTGTGGGTGCAGTGCGATTTGCAGTGCAATTTGAGCCATACAAAATGAATAGATCAAATCGCACCGCACCCACAGGGAAACCTCGTTACTTGTATGTGACAAGAATAGCATCGCTACTTCAGCTGAAGTAGCACAATTTCTATTCAATTGCAATTCTTTGCAATGCGATTTGAGCCTATTCATTTTGATTGGCTCAATTCGCACTGCAAAGGTATCGGTTTCAGGTATCAGAGCATTTGCACAAGTAGTCGCACAAATCCTTAGTATCGGCAATTCTGAGGGATGTTAATCTACATGTCGCAGGCAGGAACTGACTGACACATAATACCAAAATTATAGTTCATAAGCATTAACAGTTGCCATGTGTGTAGATTACGATCAATAATTGCAGTAACCCCATAATAAAATATACCTTAAGTCCAGGGATAAATCTGGTATCTTTTTCTACCACCAGAAGCTCTTCAACTCCAGAATTAAGTATAGCTCTTGTAATGCCACCAGGTCCAGGGCCAACCTCACAGACATAAGCTCCATTCAAATTTCCTGCCTTTCTGACAATTTTTTCTGAAAAAGTACACGTTTATTAACAAATGTTATTTTCACAAATCAAGTGAAATCACACAAATTATGTCACCTAGATGTGGACAAGAGAAATTATTTACTGAATACTATTTGTAGAAAAGATATTTGGGAGACTGGTAGTAGACCACATAGAAGAAAAGAAAATGTGACAGCCCACATTGACTAGTAAGGTACAAATGTTTATTTATGTGGATTTAAGAACAAACCTGGATAGATGATTATGGAATATATAAACTCTACTAAAGCATTTTAAAGTGATTGTAAAGGTTTAATTTTATATAGTAGATAACAAAACATGTAAAAAACAACACTAAGTCCGGTATGTAAAAAGGTATGTAATGAAAACATAAATGTTTTATTTAAACCTTACATGATCAGAGTTTTTGAAGCTTAGATTCCCAGAGTAAGTTTAGCAGAATTAGGGCTGATTTAGGCCACTTTCACATGGGCATTCAGTCTAGATCAGGGGTGGGCAAACTTTTTGACTTGAGGGCCGCAATGGGTTCATATATTGGACCCGGGGGCCGGACCAAGAGTAGATGAATGATGTGTATGTGTCATCCATAGTAAAAGTAATATTCCCCCATAGTAAGCATAGTAATTAATCCCCCATATAGTAATTCATCCCCCATAGTAATTCATCCCCCCATATAGTAATTCATCCCCATATAGCAATTCGTCCCCCATATAGCAATTCGTCCCCCCCATAGCAATTTATGATATAGTAATTCATCCCCATATAGTAATTCATCCCCCATAGTAATTCATCCCCCACATAGTAATTCATCCCCCACATAGTAATTCATCCCCCATATAGTAATTCATCCCCCATATAGTAATTCATCCCCATAGTAATTCATCCCCCACATAGTAATTCATCCCCCACATAGTAATTCATCCCCCATATTAATTCATCCCCCATATAGTAATTCATCCCCCATATAGTATGTTTAAAGTCCCCCATATAGTAATTCATTCCCCCATATAGTAAGTCCCCCATATAGTAATTCATTCCCCATAGTAAGTCCCCCATATAGTAATTCATTCCCCATAAAGTAAGTCCCCCATATAGTAATTCATTCCCCATAAAGTAAGTCCCCCATATAGTAATTCATTCCCCATAAAGTAAGTCCCCCATATATAGTAATTCATTCCCCATATAGTAAGTCCCCCATATAGTAATTCATTCCCCATATAGTAAGTCCCCCATATAGTAATTCATTCCCCATATAGTAAGTCCCCCATATAGTAATTCATTCCCCATATAGTAAGTCCTCCATATAGTAATTCATTCCCCATATAGTAAGTCCCCCATATAGTAATTCATTCCCCATATAGTAAGACCCCCCATATAGTAATTCATCCCCCATATAGTAAGTCCCCCATATAGTAATTCATTCCCCATATAGTAAGTCCTCCATATAGTAATTTCATTCCCCATATAGTAAGTCCCCCATATAGTAATTCATTCCCCATATAGTAAGTCCCCCATATAGTAAGTCCCCCCTGTGTCAATTCACTTACCTTTGCTCCTCCGCGCGTTCCTCTCGTATTCCCGCGCCGTTCTGGTCTTCAGGGAGGACTGTGAGAGAAGAGTTCGTCACGCTGCCCCGCCTACATCCTGGCTGCCCCGCCTACATCCTGACAGCTGCAGAGTCCTGACGCCCGAGAGGAGGGAGGGGGCGGCCATCCTAGAGGGGGGGCGGCCATCCGAGAGGAGGGGAGGGGAGAGGAGGAGAGGAGGTCGCCCGCCCGCCCGAGAGGAGGGAGGGGAGCGGGCGCCCGGCACACAGGAGAGCCGCATCTATTGTAAAGAGCCGCGGCTTGCCGACCACTGGCCTTGCGGGAGCCTAGCTCCGCGGGCCGGATTAAAAGGTCCGCCGGGCCGTATACGGCCCGCGGGCCGTAGTTTGCCCATTGCTGGTCTAGATCCATTTCTCAGTAATTCAAGCGGATGCAGACTTAACCACAATGTATGTCTATGGGTGGCTGGATGGAAACGGATGATCTTTCGTTTACATCTGCCTACATCCATGTGAATTCAGGTCTGTTTTTCTAAACGGAACAGCCAAAGTCCATATCCATTAAGACAGAAAAGAATGGATATAAACGGATGCCATCCATTTACATCCATTCCGTTTATGTCCTTAGGTAAGAAACATTTTTTGTTTACACTTTTGTCACCTCGGATTGGTCTCTGCAACAACAACAACAACAAAAATGGATGCAAACACTGCTGTAAGCTGATGTAAACTGAACTAAACCGATATAAAATCATGTAAACTGAACTGAAAACGGATGTGCAAATTGAATGTGTTAACTCAATCCGTTTTTTCTTTGAAAAAAAGTGGCTGAACGGATGATGCCCTTGTGAAAAGAGTCTTAGTTATGCGTCTAAATCTCCCTTGCCTCTGATCTAATCCACGTTTGGATTGTGCTCCAGAGGCTACTGACAGGTGACAGGTGATGAGGAAGTGATGTGACATCTCCTCAACACCTGCTTTAACCCCATTTCCGCCAACAATTGCGTCAAACCTCCATGCATTACACGTGGTTGTGGGGCGTTTGCAGCGCTTATCCATTTGCTAGATTGTGTAGTGTTTGGCGGGCTTGCAGCCCACTAAACATTACAACACCCTATTGCAGTCTATTGAAGCTTAAGGAGGAGGTGGGTGTTCCACGGGCAGTGGAAACGTGGCTCAATCATGCATTTTTGCCACCCCCCAACCTCAGATCTAAACAAAGCTTTAGTCGCATCAGTTAAGTTAACAATACCACTATGACTAATTTTTCTGATTGACAGCAGGTCTAAAACTAGGAACACGCAGAGTTGCACGTTCTTGGTTCTCTTCTGCAATGTAAACTAACCTTCTCACGGCAGACGGCATTTTACACTTGGACTTAGAAAATCATATTGTGGTCAAGAAAAGTTTTAAAATGTATTTAGCATTTTGCTGGGGTGAAGGAACAATATAGGCAGATTAAACTTCAGCTTTAATACTTGAAATCTCAGAAAATGTATAAAAAAAAAACATAACACCATACCTGTAAGTTTCAAATCCAGCAAAAAGTTCTGGGAGAGTTGTTTTTGTGCTCTTAAATTGTAAAGCTTTATAATTTCTTTGATGGTTGGCAAGGGAGGTAACCGATACATCTTTCTTTCATATATATTATATGCCTAAATAAGAGTCCGAATAGAAGTTGTTAATAAACAGGTAAAAAAAAAAAAAAAAAAAAAAAAGGGCCATTTCTATATATATATCATCATCATCCTGATTCGATAATGCTAACACTTTAAAGTACTTACACTGATAGATAGGCCCCCTGTCAACACATTATGCATTTGTTTTTGTAAAAACAGAGAAAAACACAGCAGCTATTTCAAAATTTACCTACTGTGCCACCTGCTGGCAAATCAGAGGCCAGCACCTGAAAGAAAAAAACATTGGACAATGAAAAACTACATTGGATGGGGGTTTCAGATATTGAGGCAACTTGACTAAAGGAGTTAAGAATCTTCACAAAATAAAAATTGTGAGTATTAACTTCAAGTATATAAATAATGTAAAGTGCAGCACTCATAGAAATATAAACATTAATCACAGTAAAATATACTAATAAAATGAGAGACAATGGTGAAAGTACGCAGAAAAAACAGTTATAAGTGAAGTGCTCTAAAATTGGCGCTATGGTGAATTGTAATAACTGATAAAAAGTGTTGCGCTGAATAACAGCGAAAGGTGGTCAACAACACTGTATTAGTGACAAGAGTGAAATGTCCAATATAAATAAAATCATCCAAGTGAATATATCAATAAATAGTCCAAAATGTATCCGTCATAAATTACTTCTCTTGAATGTACTCACCAGAAGCGCATATGAAATGCGCATTATAATTAAAAAGTTGCTCCACAGGTCAGGCTCGTCCACAGTGATGCTCACAGAATGGGAATAAAACAGCACTGGCCTCACACACTGTTAAGGGATGACTCCAGAAGACCTTTCCACCATCAGCAAACAAGCACAGCCCCACCTTGAAGGGAACAGCTCACAAAACCTAGCCACAAAGAAAGCAGCGCTTATGGTGCAGTATTATTTATTAATTGAGTAAAAACATCCATGTGGAAATCAAATGGCAAAATGACACAAAGATGGCCGTCGGACCTCCGTGAGGATGCAGCGGCGTGACTAGGTACGACAGGCTCTTCTGACGCGTTTCATGCGCATGCACGTTATCAAAGGGATTTGGAGGCAAACACTGCTTATCAATTATGATTCACCATAGCACCACTTTTAGAGCACTTCACTTATGACATTTTTTCTGCGTACTTTCACCATTGTCGCTCATTTTTTTTAGTATATCTTACTGCAGAGGTTAAAATTTCGAGTCCAGACCTACAAAAACTTACACAAAACTTACTCTCCACCAGTTGCCCCACCCAACCTTGCCCAGGTCCGCCCCAACCCCACCCAGCCCGCCCCCAACCACGCCCCCTTAAAGCTTATGAAATTACATTTTTCTTTAGAATAAAGAGTCCAAAATATAAAACTGTACACAGTAATGTATATCCCAGCTCCCCTGTACTCCATTATAGTGATATGACATGTATATACAGTAATGTATATCCCAGCTCCCCTGTACTCCATTATAGTGATATGACATGTATACAGTAATGTATATCCCAGCTCCCCTATACTCCATTATAGTGATATGACATGTATACAGTAATGTATATCCCAGCTCCCCTATACTCCATTATAGTGATATGACATGTATACAGTAATGTATATCCCCCTCCCCTGTACTCCATTATAGTGATATGACATGTATACAGTAATGTATATCCCCCCTCCCCTGTACTCCATTATAGTGATATGACATGTATACAGTAATGTATATCCCCCCTCCCCTGTACTCCATTATAGTGATATGACATGTATACAGTAATGTATATCCCAGCTCCCCTGTACTCCATTATAGTGATATGACATGTATACAGTAATGTATATCCCAGCTCCCCTGTACTCCATTATAGTGATATGACATGTATACAGTAATGTATATCCCCCCTCCCCTGTACTCCATTATAGTGATATGACATGTATACAGTAATGTATATCCCCCCTCCCCTGTACTCCATTATAGTGATATGACATGTATATAGTAATGTATATCCCCCTGCCCTGTACTCCATCATAGTGATATGACATGTATACAGTAATGTATATCCCAGCTCCCCTGTACTCCATTATAGTGATATGACATGTATACAGTAATGTATATCCCCCCTCCCCTGTACTCCATTATAGTGATATGACATGTATACAGTAATGTATATCCCCCTGCCCTGTACTCCATCATAGTGATATGACATGTATACAGTAATGTATATCCCAGCTCCCCTGTACTCCATTATAGTGATATGACATGTATACAGTAATGTATATCCCAGCCCCCCTGTACTCCATTATAGTGATATGACATGTATACAGTAATGTATACCCCCCCCCCCCCCTCCCCTGTACTCCATTATAGTGATATGACATGTATACAGTAATGTATATCCCAGCTCCTCTGTTACTCCATTATAGTGATATGACATGTATACAGTAATGTATATCCCAGCTCCTCTGTACTCCATTATAGTGATGTGACATGTATACAGTATGTATATCCCCCCTCCCCTGTACTCCATTATAGTGATATGACATGTATACAGTAATGTATATCCCCCCTCCCCTGTACTCCATTATAGTGATATGACATGTATGTGTTTTGCAAAGTAGACAGTCGGACGTATTTCATAAGAGGCATGGCAAGTTTTTTGAAGTTGTAATTTTTTTGTATAGTGACAAAATTAAAAAAAATATTTTCACAAAATGTTTTTTTACATACTGTCACCAGTGCAGTACAGCATCATCATATACCTGGTGTGGCGGTGATCAGGGACACTGACTGGTGACAGTACAAAAAAATAATTTAAAAATTAAAAAAAATATATCAATTATTTTTTATTACATGATGACCAAAGTAGTATACTGTTACCATAGTAACATTGTACTACTTTGGGGAAGCGATTAGTATTTTTTTTTTTTACACAATTTGATTGCTTTTAGCAAAGAATTTCTCTGATATAAGCAAGCATTTAATGGAATGAAATCGATTCATTCAGGGTTTTTTTTTGTTGTGATTAACCACGGCTAATCACATGACACAGATGGGCTGTGATTGGCCCAGCCTGTACATTTGATCACTGTGACCATTCACAGCTAGACACACTTGTATACAATGGATATGCCATCCATTGTATACAAGTGTGTCTAGCTGTGAATGGTCTCAGTGATCAAATGGAAGGTCACTGTGGAAGGAAGCCACCCATTGTATACAATTGTCATGTGACACCTGCTGTGATTGGTCACAGCAGGACACATGGTACTGGCAACAGAGAAGGTACAAAGATCTGTCATGGGCCCTGTCCAAGGTACACAGCCGGTGACAGATCTTATATCAAATAGATAAGCGAGCGCAGCTTGGAAGTATGAAAAGCTTGAAACCGAGCAGGATGCACGAAACATGTCAGGGGAATCCACCAGATTGACGCCTTAGCCGCCATTTAGCCTATGAGGAAGGCCGGGCGGCCATCTGATACTACATGTGAATTTTTTTTTTAATGTTAAATTTGGATCTTCTTTTCATGTGAATAAAAACATACTATACTATCAGTACCATTTTGACCCCTGGCTCGTTTTTTTGCAAGCCTCGCAAGGTGGAGCCATTTGGAAAATTAAACTTGGGTTCTGAACTGCGCTGGACGTACCGTTGAGCCTGAGGTGACCCCCGAGTGTCCACCATAGTGCCAGATGTTACCGCAACCACAGACCAGACCCTGATGTCACTACGTATATGCTATGCATCTAATGCCTTGATTATATGTACTTCTGGTAAGTGCATTATGTACCGGATTTTCACACCAGCAATTGAAGTCACGGAACACCAAGCATTATTTGTTCTATTCATCTCTGTTTATTGACTTCTCACCATCGCCACTTTGATATAACATCTTTATTAGCAACATTTTTTTAAAAACGTGGCCATCATCACACTATTTTGGCATCAATAATAGTGATTATATCAGTTCGCATGCATTTGGGTTTATGAGCAATATCGGTTTATTATGTCACTTTGCGCTGCATACCTATTTTCAATTTAACTCTGAGGTGACAGATCTTGCCACAGTGTGGCCCTGCGGGCATGCGCAGGCACAATCCAGGAAGGATGTCATATGACGCCCTACTGGATTGACAAGAGTCCCGCCCGGCCATCATTTTACTATAGGCCGAGCGGGAAGTGGTTAAGCACAAAAAGTTGTGTTTTTGGTTCTATAGACTTCAATGGAGACGCTGCAGAAAAGCTTGTAGGGCATTCTTGCTGTGTTTTGCGTCTCAATATCTGTCTAGCATCAAGAAAAAACATAAAATGCTGCAAAAATGTAAAATGCACTGCAGAAACGGATCAAATGCAAACTGCATAGGTGTGAACTTAGCCTTAAGCTGGAGAATGCAGAATCAGGCTCACTTCTGCATAGAAACCAATCAGCTTCTAACTTGTTCAATTAAGCTTTGGCAATATAACCTGGAAGCTGATTGGCTCCTATGCAGAAGTGAGCCGCATCTCCAGTTGTAGTAAATAAACCCCTTTACGTCAGTCACATGTCCTCCCCTGCACACTGTGAGCCGGGTTGCTGAGTGCACTGAAACCAGAAGGTCAGCATGGCAACCAGCTTACTGGCAGAATGAGGAGCTGTCCAGGCATCAAAGTGACCTCACACCCCAAGACGCTAAATGCAATGCTGCCATACCTTCCTCCTTTATGGACACATTCTCTAGTCCAGTCCCCGTGACGTCATCTCACAGACCCCTCAGGACTTCCCACTACCGGCAGACGGTGGGCGGGATCAGGCCGGCGCCACACGTGTGTTCATGTGCATGTCCCAGACTCTGCCAGACTACATCTCCCAGCAACCCCTTACTTGACGTAAATTATGGGCGGAGCCCTCTAGCACGCAGGACGGGGCAAAGACAAATGTGGGAGGTGGTAAGGAAAAAGGAATGTGGTCTGTCAATGGGACAGCAGAGCTGTGCAGCCTACACAAT